TCCATCTCTTTTTTGTGAACAAACAAGACAACTACTTTAATTTAAGAGATTGATTATATAGATGATTGCTAGGATGGGCCGTATGATTGCATTTTCTCATTTTAAGTCATTTTCTCTTTAGGACGCGCGCTGTGCATTTAGTCTACACAATTATCATTGGACACAAGACAATCCATTCAGAAAAATTGACATCAATTTAATCTCATTTCCTGCTATATTTCATCTAATATAACAAACATTATTCAGTTAGGCGTTTCTTTTCACACTTTTTATTCACTTTTAAAAGTTGATTTAATTATTACAGTTATCTGGTTTCTTATATGTCACCATACTCAGCATCAAATAGTTTTACCCATCAATTCCTTTCATTCTTTCAACACCTCATCCCATTCGGTCTATTAAAACGAAAATCATGTTCTAGTCTTCTACAGTGTTTTCTTATTTTACGAAAGAAGTCAACAGAGAGTGCAAAATAACGGGAGTTCGTTTAGTTTTTTCAAATAATTTTTAGCTCACTCGGGTCCCCTATTCCAAATGAGGGAGATGGGTAGTGAGTTGAAGAGGTAGGATAGATTATGTAAAAAATAAAATCCTACTCGTATTTTCCTCTAAAGTGTTGTAACTTTTTCTTTGTACTCTAATTTATATAAAAATATATCAAAATTTATAAATTTTTATGATCCTTCAAATCACACCAATATATAAATATAAAGTTTAAATAAAATTATGTTTGAACTACAAGAGCTTTTCAGATGATCTTTTTTAAATAGATTCAAATGCTAAAAGTAAGATCTCTTTGTTAAAATATTTTTTTTGCACGTTTCAATTATTTTAACAACGAGAGTTTAGTTTTAGTATTTGAATCTACTTAAGAAAAATTGAGGATCTGAAAACCTCCTACAAATAAAAATTTTATTTTTTAAACTTTACATATGCAATATTGGTTTTATACTAGTACTAGTATTAGATATCATGAAATTTATGAATTTTGAAATATTTTTTTGTAAGAATTCGAATGTTTGTTTTCTATTTATTTTTTTCCTAACCATATTTTTTGGAAAGAAGCCTTTCGAATCTCGTATTTTCATACTATAAAACCGAATGCCGTGTTTTTGCATGAGGTTCTCTTTGTATTGGGATTAATCTAGTCTAGATAACACAGTAACAAATAAAAGAATGACACAAATATTACCTGGAAGGTTTTAGTTGACAAAAATATGACCATTTTGAAACTTTACAAAAATGTGAGCTAAATCCTCTCTCCCCATCGAGATCGACGCATCTGGAACAATCCGTTAGAGGCCTCCTCCCTCCATCGCTCATCTATCGTCGATCGCAGGCCTCCTTCCTACATCGCTCATCTCATCAACCTCACAGCCGGTAACTACGCCTCTGGCAGTCACCATCGCAGGCAACATCTGTGCTATGTCGGTCGTCATTGCCCTCCCCTGCGCTGATTTCTGTTTATTCCCTTTTCTGTGTGGTCAATGTGAAGGTAGACGTCACCGTCTTCTTCCATGGAGGGTTGGTTGTCACAGGTAGTGGAGCTCTTTAACTCTCCGTCGCATCTAATTCCAGACATGATTGCCGTTTTCAGCCACACCTGTCGGAGAGGGGGCAGATGGAATGATAGGGGAAAGGGCTAGGTATGGGGGTATGGGGTGGGGGATGTGTGGGATCTAGTGCGTAGGGCCTTATGGACGGGGATTGATGGTTGGCTAGGGGGCTGGTGTGTAGGGGGCTAGGGGTGGGAGCGAGGGTAGGGTGGGGATGTGGTGCATAGGACTGGGGCTGGGAGCAGGGCTGGGAAGCTAGTGTGTGGGCAATGACAAGTTGGGACGGGCCAGGGGTGGAAGTGGTGGTTGTGGTCGGGGCAGGAGCAGCGGTGACAACTGGGGACGGATAGGGGCGGCAATAGCGGCTTGGACTGTGTAGCTGGAAAGTGTTAGTGTTGTTGGTTCCAGGGTGCCAGAAAAGGAGTCGGAAAACTTTCTGGTGGTGGCGTCATTGTGGCTGATGGATAGCGTATCGGGGGGTAGCTTATCCGAGGGGTTATTACGGTGAATAACCTAGAGAGAAGTCAGAGCAAGTAAGTAAGAGAGAGTCAAATGTATTAAATGAACTCGTTGTGTCTTTTACAAGGTGAATAAGGGATGCTATTTATAGCAGCTATAAATGCGATGAGAGTACACATGTCAACAATCTAACGGCCGAGGGGTCACCTCAATCGGGGTGGCACCGACATAAGCATGTGCACCACATTAAATGCGGTGGGTGGATGTGACGTCGTATTAAATGTGATGGTTGGCTGTCTTTAAAAGGAATCTTCGTCGATAGTTCTGTGGCTGAAGGCATTGTGTGGCCAAAGGCATCATGCGGCTGAAGGCATTGTGTGGCCGAAGGCATCATGTGGTTGAAGGCATTGTGTGGCCGAAGGTATCATGTGGCCGAAGGCATTGTGTGGCCGAAGGCATTGTGTGGCCGAAGGCATCATGTGGCTGAAGGCATCGGGTGGCCGAAGGCTAACATTTTAGCCCGGATTTTCTAGAAGCTTTGCAGGACCATATTAAGATGTCTCCCAGAATTTGGAGCCCTCAGCCATAGGGCCGAAGGCATCCATGTATGCAGCGTGGGCTTCTTCATGCTTGGGTCGCTACGTTTAGGCTTTGTGTGCTCATCGGGTTTGATGAGCCTGTGTAGAAGAAGCGGGAGTCTGTGGGCCGGGGTGTCCCGGATCATATACTCCATCAGTGGTGGCGTCACTGTGGTTGATTTTACTTCAAAGATTAGTTGTGTGAATGTCACTGTGGAGATGTCACTACGTATTAGTCACATTTTTGTCCAAATGTAAATGTTGTCACCTTTTTAGAAGTTAGCTTTAGTTTAGTATATTAAGGGAATAACCCCATAAGATATTCTCCTTTACTACTAAATGAACATCCAGATCGTTCTTAATGCATCAGAGTAAATGAATAATCCTCTAATTCTCTTTTCAGTGTTCTAATTTGAAAGAATGACGGATATAAGAGTCCTACCCTTCTAAAAGATAAAAGTAGAATGGTTTTGAGCTTGGACAAAATAGAACCGGTTATAAATGAATGGACTAAAATATCATTGTTATATAATAGACCTAAAACCCCAAATCCCAAATGTATATATAAGGTGTTTTTACTTGGATTGTAATTTTCTGATCTGATCTGGTCTAGTCTGAACTGATCTGATCTGATCTGGTAAATGTCTGGTCTTTATGAATTATAGAATTGTCTAAGTCTGGTCTGGTTTGATCCGATCTGGTTCGATATGGTCTGAGACTGGAAACAATCCGAGTAAAAACATCCATAGAACTAAAACCTAAACCCTATATCCTCGTACAATCTGTTCATTTCCTTCAGAGGTGCAGCCGCCACCGCCATACATGGGTGTCGTTCCCGTCGTCGAGTCCATCACCATCGGTTCCGTCGCCGCATCCATGGCCATCATCTTTGGCGCCGTGTCTCCATTGCCTGTCGGCTCAGTCACCGCATCCATCGCAACCACATCTGCCATCGCCTCTCCATTATATTGTCATTGAACCTTTTTCATTCTCTAGCGTCGCTCGTGTGCTCTCGCCCCTCGCATTCTGTCGTTGCCCCCATTGTTTTCCTTCTCCTTCTCTGTGAGCGGATTGGATACAATTTGGAGATGACATGTCTTTTCTCCTTCATCTCCCAACAAAGCAACAATGATGATGATAAGCGAGATCACAACTTAGGTTAATTTCAAGGCGATTGTGGTGATGTGTACTGGCCTGTAGATCTGGTCGTACCTAAAGTGGTGTAGTGGTGGTGGCAAAGATGGTTTATGATGGTTGTAGTGTGGTGGTTAGGGTTATAGGCATCCTTGGGTGGTGGTGGGGTCTTTGGGGTCGCGGTGGATGCATGTGGTAGGTGCAAGGGAGGCTGGGGAGGGGCATGGGCTAGGTAAAGCGATAGGGGGCTATGGAGGGAATGGTGAGCGTGGTGGGGGTGGGGTGGGCAGTACGCGATGGACGGTGGTGGTGTAGAGGCGGGTGGTAATTGTTAGGGCGATGGTCACAGCCGAGGTGGCGACGACAACGGGGTAGTATTGGTCATTACGAGTCAGTGGTGGGCACTTGTAATTGGTCATTGTTACTTTGTAACTGAGTGACGAGTCATTGGTTGTGGCGGTGGTGGCGGGTAAATGTAACTGGCAAATAGGTCACTGTCACTAGTCGGACAAACGTTGGTCACTGGACGGACAAACATTGGTCACTGGACGGATGTACATTGGTCACTGGATGAGGGGACAATGGTCACTATGATATTGGTCATTGTAGCAGTAGTCACGGTAGTAGTGGATCAAACGATGAGGATATAATGGACCTCTTGCTCTTATTAGTCTTTTTTTTTTGGAAATTTAAATAAAAGGACTCCTTTTTTGTCAAAGAGATAATTTTTATTGTTATTGTTATCTTAACCCCCAGATTAATGAAAAAAATATTACTAATAGATTTTGAGTGAATAAAAACATTACCAATGTCTATATGGATAAAAAGTGACTACCCCTATCCACCCGTATACCCTTGCAACCCTATTCAGCGCTTTCTTCTTCCTCTCGCAACTCTGCGTATCAACAAGGGCGGACCCAAGAAATTCATGTTGGAGAGGCGGTAATTTAATCAAAAAAAATCTAGGCGCTGAAAAAACCTTATTTTTTAAATGAAGCATTAAAATAGTACACAATAGGGAAAAAAATAGAAGAAGAGACAAATATATTATTAGAGAATAGTAAAGTTAATACCTTAGAATTGTGTTTTATGCTTTGAAACAATTGGGTTCCTGCGAGTGGCTAAGTTTTGGAGGCGAAAATATTTTTTGGGGGGGTTCAATTTGTTTTTGCAGGGTCAAAAATTATTTGTTAAGTAGGGTAAAAATATTTTTCGTATATATATACACTAAAAAAATTGTTGGGACCCGGTAACCCCGGGTCTGTACTGTGGTCCGGCCATGCGTATCAATCAAGTGAAGGAACATATAACGCAAAATTATCTTTCTCTTCTAATCCGCAAATCACCACACCCTACTCTTGGATCTCTGCCATAGCTCAATTTTAGTACGGAGAATTAAATTTGTAATTGATCAATAGTAAATTGAAAAATAATTTAGGAACATCTAACGCAGATGATGATGGATCGAGCCCCGCCCCAGGACTCCTCCACCGCTGCTGCTCTTCTGTCGCACCACAACTCTTCTTGTCATTTCTTCTTCACTGTCGCAACCGCCAACGTTAACCTTCTCCGCCGCCTGAAACTTAAATCGACTAGCCTCTTCGTTGTCTTCGATGGCAGCGTCTACGTAAGATCTGTCATCCTCAATGGAGTCCGGCCGATGTTTGATCCGCCGTCCTCAATGGAAGATGACTCTGATTTGGGGCTGCCGGTGCTAGATCCATCATCATCGACGGACAACGACTTTGATTTGGTACAGTCAGCGTTAGATCCACCAACCTCAATGGACGATGACTCCGAGTTGGGGTCGCTAGTGCCGAATCGGCCGTTCTCAATGCTACAGAGGTCCTTGAGGGACAGGGGCGCTGGGGCGGGGCATTGGAGCACTGGAGGGGGTCTAGGGACAAGGAGTGGGGTTGGGGTGCTACTGCGTAGGGTTAGGAGCATGTAAGGCACAGTTCGTTCTAGGCGCTCAATTAATCTAGCCTAGGCACTATTTGCTAGACCCTCCAATTTTTGTCTAGATGTCTGACTGGTTGGTTTGGCGCCTAGGTGAATTAGTCGGCTGCCTATGAAATCTAGATGTCAGTCCAGAGCACCTAATTGCTACCTAGTGTGCCTAGATTCGTCGCACAATTTTTTATGTTTTGTTTTCTTTTTGTAAGATATAAATGTACCTTTAACATTAATCACAGATATGAGAAAAGATACTTGTAAATTAAGATAAAAACTACATATGTTTGTATGTATAGTTAAATTTTCCTATTATTTAATATTTATAACATAATGACGTTAATTGACTAATTATCATATATTATTTGTATGCGACAATTCTATCATCATTCATGCATTTTAATGTGTGTATATTTTTCACACACAAACACAATATTACCGTTTTACTATGTATTACTTATCATATTTATGCAAAACTATTGATAAAAATATAATTTATGCGTCTCGAACTAGTCTGCGTCTAGGCGCTAGGCATTGGGCTGGCGCTCGACTACCGCCTAGCGCCTTTTAGAACATTGGGTCAAGGGTAGGGCGGGAAGTGACAAGTTGGTGGGGCTGGTGGGTAGTTGGGGGGTCTGATATGTCGAGGTGGGGTAGGGGCGGCTGCGATGGACGGGGCAGGCGTGACCGCGGCTTGGGCTGGGAGGGGGACGATCGTGGTGTCATTGGCGGCAACGGGGTAGTGGAGAGGACGTAGGTGTCGAGCGGTGCCAGACACTAGACCGGATGGCAGTCAGTGGTTTGGGGGTGCTGGGGTGTGGGCCGCTGTGGGGATGGGTAGGGCGTCTTTGAGAGATAGATGTAGTGGTGGGATGGTGGTGCTGGTGGGGCGGTGGGCGCCAGTGTGGGATGGTCACTAACCAACCGTGGAGGTCATTGTTTTGCTAGAAAAAGTCACCAGAAAATTACTCCCTCCGCCCCTTAAAACTTTGCCAACTTTCCTTTTTTGGATGTCCCACTAACTTTGCCACTTTCCATTTTAAATAAATAATTTGTGATTCCAGTCAATTTTCTCTCCTCTGCACAAACCTCCACCACACAGTTTTTACTTTATTAATCCCCGTGCCGGTCAAACTTGGCAAAGTTTTAAGGGACGGAGGTAGTATATGGCAATTATAATGACATGTTCCACGGCGATATTGACATCCGAAAGTAACATGAAATTTGATAATGACATTCAAAAGTGACATGAAAACCGACAGTGACATTCAAAAGTGACATAAAAATCTAACAGTGACATAAAAATTTGGCAGTGACAACACGTTTTTCCAAATATATGACTTTCATGTAGTACTTTAATGTAGTACTCCCTCCGTCCCGAAAACAACCTCCCGGTTTGACTTTCACACACTTTTAAGTAGATTAATTTTTGCCTTTGATTTTCCAAAATTACCCTTAAGGGTTGCGGCCAGAGCAAATAAAAGGAAGGGCGTAATGAACAGTACCAGTGAAAGAGGCAGGCAAGATTAAAAGGTTAGAGTTTTGTTTAGGCCACTTGATAAGTCATAACCCCCCAAGAAATCCCACTTTTCATGATTTTTATGACCATGTTCACATTGATGAAAAGTGGTTTTTCTTATCTAAGGAAACAACCAACTTTTACACTCACAGTAGTGAAGAAGATCCATATAGATCTGCCCAGTCCAAGAAATTCATACCCAAAATAATGTTTTTAGCAGTTGTGGGCAGACCAAGGTTTGGGGATGCAGGGGATGTCATATGGGATGGGAAAGTAGGTATATTTCCTTTCACATTTCAAGAGAAGGCTAAGAGATCAAGTAAAAATAGGGTAGCAGGCACACTAGAGACAAAGCCTATATTAAATGTGACAAGGTCTGTAATCAGAGACACGTTGTTGCAGTAAGTTCTGCCTGCCATCAAAAGGAAATGGCCAGACAGAGTGAACAAAAAAGTGATCATTCAGCAAGACAATGCAAGGCCACATGTGCTTACGACAGATGCAGATTTTCTCAAATGTGCAAGTGAAAATGGTTGGGACATACAGTTACAGTGTCAACCCCCTAACAGTCCAGACCTAAATGTGTTTGACTTGGGTTTCTTTAGGGCCATTGACTCATTAAAGGAACAACAAGCCCCTAAGTCAATTTCCCAATTAGTACAAGCTGTGACATTAGCATTTGATGCTCTCACACCTAGTACATTAAACAGGGTGTTCCTCAGCTTTCAGTATGTTATGGAGGAAATACTAAAGCACAGAGGGGGGAACAGCTTCAAGCTGAGGCATGTTGGAAAGGAAAAACTTGAAAGACAGGGGTTGCTGCCCACAAATGTGGAAACCAGCCATGCCACAATGAATGAAGCAAAACAAGCACTCATAGAGATGTAAACACTTGAGGCAGAAGCATCACATCAGGGCCATGGAAGTGAGTTCATAAGTGAAGATCAAGTAGATCTTCAAGAATGAACTCAGGCACATGGAGAGTAATCTTTTTTGTATGTACTTCCTTTATAGAGAAGGGGTACTGTTTTTGTATGTACTGGCATATGTGCCCATAGTACACTATTTTTGTGCTTTCTTACATTCTTGGCGTACAAGTATTAAATGTATGGCCAAAGTGATTCAAATGTAGAAGAAACAATTAATGTTTTGCCTTATCAATCCATCTAAGCACATAAGGGTTGAAAATTTACAAGTGTTTGACAATACACACCCAAAATCACCCTATGTGCAGTGAGACTTTATTTAGTAAGCCCAAATCATATGCTACACATAAACATCAATTGCTTGTGCACAGAATACTCTAAATGATCTCCAACACTTTGTACAAGTGGCTGACACAAGGAGAGAATAAGCCAAATATCCATAAATTCACAAACTGTCTTCACAATGTTTAGATCATACAAGGCCCCCATCATCATCAGTCAAGATACACAGACTACTAGATTTAGGCACACAACTTCAATAAACGAACACATTCAGTTTACAAAATAGAGGGGCATCACAACTTCAATAAACGAACACATTCGGTTCACGAAAGAGAGGGACATCACAAGCTCAAAGCACAAACTTCATTCAATAAACGAACACATTCAGTTGACAAAAGAGAGGGGCATCACAAGCTCAAAGCACAAACTTCATTCAATAAACAAACACATTCAGTTCTGCAACTTGAACATTAAAAAAGAGATGAGATTAGAAGCCTCCCCTATGAGGAATCAGTGCCCCAAGGCATCCACGGCCTTTTACGACAATGGCCAAAGAGGCGGTCTAACTCCTCTGGATACCATCGAGGTTCCGAGTTCACCTCCTCCTCCCCTTCATCCTCTGACGCTGGAAAACCTTCGTAAGTGTCCTCCACGCAGTCAGACCCCCACTTCTTCCGTATGGCCCATCCAGAGTCGGTTTCCGAAGTCCACTCTCGTTGGTCAGACTCTACACCTTCCTCGTCTGACATAGCTTCTGCTGAGGGTTTGTTCACCATAGCTTCGATAGAAGGAAGCGCGACATGCATGTTTCGATCTAGGGTTTCATCATCACCGAGGTTTAATTCAGGAAGCGCGACATGGTTCTTCAGATCTAGGGTTTCATCATCACGGCGATTTGATTCAGGACCCAGGGTTTCATCATCCCGTGGGAGAATTTGAGGGAGGACAGTGATGTTTGTCTTCTCCATGGATGAGAAGGGAGGAGAGTGGAGAGGTGAAGAGGGTTAGAAGACAGAGAGAGATAATGGTGTGGGGTTGAAAGCCGGGATCAGAGTAAATGGGGCACCGAATAGGCAGAGGATGGAGGGATATGGGGAGGGCATTTATGAGTTTTTACCTTTAAAAACTTTCCTAATATGGAAATGAGAAGTTAATTTTGGGACGTCCATTTAAGGAAAGTATGAAGTTGTTTTCGGGACGGAGGGAGTAATATTCAAGAAAAAGTCTTTTAATTTACAAGTATCTATGTACGAGCATTGCAACTAATCATTACTTCTTACCTTAAAACTTGGTCAACTTTTTTTTTTATTTTTCCACTACCTTTGTCACTTTCCTTTTCAAAAAAGAAAATTTTGGTTCCAACTATTTTTCTCTCTTCAGCAAAAACTTTAACCGCACAATTTTTACTTTATTAATTACCGTGACGGTCAAGTTTTACTAAGTTCTAAGGAATGGAGGGTGTATTTTAAATAAAATTCATGTGGAAACATCAATCAAGCATACTCCATGTGCCCCATAAAACTTTGTCAACTTTTTTTAATTGTCTCACTAACTTTTTCAATTTCCCATTTAAGTAGAGAATTTATGGTTCCAATAATTTTCTCTCCCCCACACAAACAATTTCTATTTTATTAATCTCTATGTCAGACAAACTTATTCAAGTTTTAATACTGTATTAATCTCCGCATAGGACAAAATTATTCAAGTTTTAAGGGACAGAGGGATTATATTTCAAACTGTAATATTAACAAATCCTTGGGAGGGGCAAGTAGGGTTGTAAACGAACCGAATCGAGTCGAATAGTGAGATTTTGTATTTGTATTTGTTTAATTTTTTCGAATTCGAATTCAAATATGAAACAAATATTAATTTTGATTTGTATTTGTATTTGTTTAACAATACGAATAGTTAACGAATCATATACGAATATCAAATCGATGTCAGCATATGTTAAATATTAGTCAAATATCACTTTAAAATAACTTTTCTTATATTTTTTATGTTTTAAATGCGTGCTATGACTTAATATATGTTTTTAGAATTTAAATTTAATGGATCAATGCATTTTTAGATTGTGCACACTATACTAAAGTCAATCAATTTTATGAATAACAAATATAAATCTATTTCAAACTTTTTGAAATAAACACTACCACACACATATTAGAAATTATATTTATAATGAGATGAGATTTAATTATTATTTTTAGGAAAGGGGATGAGCGAAACTCTACGGTGATTTTGAATGAACGAAACTGCTACTACGGCGCTGGCGCCGTCAAAGGTGTGAGAACGCAAGTCTTTTGCGGAGATAGTGGGTGACAATGGATCGCTATCTGCCAAAACTCCTTCGAGGTTCAAAGGGATGCCATCCATTAGCTTCTCTGATGATGACATTAAAATGCTAGCGGAGAAACATAATCGTGATCTTGTAGGTTACTTCTTCAAAGGAAAACCTTCTTTAGCAATGATTCGGAAAGCTTTTGAGGTTATTGAGGTTAAGGGATCCTTTCACTTGGGTGTTCTTGATAATAAACATATTTTGATTCGATTTGCCTTGGAAGAGGATTTCTTAAGGTGTTGGAATAGACAATCTTG